ATGTAAAGACTGTGGACTGAAATTTTCCAGGGTTTCAGCATTTCAATCCCATCAGCACACCCATGTTTCCAAAGAAACAGTGCAGAGAGCCCGGCTTCTAGAACCGGAGCTAGGGCCTATGCTTCTGGGGCCTGGGCTTCCAGAACCGGAGCTGGGGCCTCTGCCTGTAGAAACACAACCAAGGGCATCGACAGTAGAAATACAACCAAGCGTTCAGTACGATTCACAAATGTTTGCTGCAGAGTCTGTTCAACAAACACATCAGCAATTTAGTAACAACAGCCAATGTGGTTCAGATGAAGTGAAACAAATACCTAGGAAGAAAAGGAGTGAATTCAACTGCACTGAGTGTGATAAGACTTTCAGTCATCGTGTTGGTTTAATGAACCATGGGCGATGGCACGCCAGACACTTAGAAGAAAGGTTCACATGCGAGGAATGTGGAAAAACATTTAAGACTGCATCATTCTGCTACAGACACCAGCTCATGGCACATACTGAGGAGACTCCTGCCAAGTCTTTTCTTTATCAAGTGGGCCAAGTTCAGAAGAAGGCRTTTGAATGTAAAGACTGTGGACTGAAATTTTCCAGGGTTTCAGCTTTTCAATCCCATCAGCACACCCATGTTTCCAAAGAAACAGTGCAGAGAGCTCGGCCTCTAGAACCCAATGTGGGGCCTCGACCTCTTGAAATGGAGCTGGGGGTTCAGACTCTAGAAACCCAACCAAGGACACCAACACTAGAAATACAACCAAGGGATCAGACTCTAGAAATGGAGCAGGGAACTTGCAGTCAAGAAGAGGAGCTGGTGGCTCACACTCACAATGCTTTGCCACATCAAGATAATATTTCAGAAAGTTGTTGGAAAGAGTCAGAGCACTCTCCAGCTTCTGTGGAAGAAAAACTGCAATCAGAAATTTCTCCTGCCGCTTGTACCACGGACAAATCACAAACAAATGAGACTGATGAAGACTTGGAGAGCTATGAACCTGGGGACTTCAACGTACAAGTAATTAGTGACAGTGAGCCCGAAGAGGAGGCGGCTCCAGACCTGAATCCTGATCTTGAGCTGCTGTGTGAATCTGATCAGGATGTAAGAGACGACCATGAAGTTTCCCCCAGAGGCCTTGAGTCAAAGCCGGACTTAAAAATAATTCAGATTGACTTTGATCAAACCAACAAGCAGTGTGTACCAATGGAAAGCGGAAGCGAGAATCAAACTGCACATGAAAGATTCCAGTGTCCGGATTGTTACCGCTGGTTTACTAACCCCACGTCACTGCGAGTTCACAGAATGTGGCACGGAGTCCGTGAGAGAAGACAGCAGAATCAAGGTCAGTCAGTGGCATGTGAAATAAGTAACTATGAAGCACAATTTATTCACACACAATTCCACAGTGATCAGACTCTAAGTAGWGGTTTGTTGAATCAGGCTGAGGGGTTGGTGAAGAAAATGTTTACCTGTAATGAGTGTGGTGATGTTTTCTCTTATTTGTCTGCTTTAGTGTCACACCAGTTGCATCACCCTAAAAGAAAACAGTACCAGTGTCCAGATTGTATGATGTCTTATCTTCATGCAGCCAGTTTGTTTAATCACATGAAAACCTGCTCTGCACAAAAGAGGAAAGATATTTCTGTCAGTGAGAAAGAATACAATCCAAAGAAAACTCTGCTAGGCCCAAAGATCTATCATTGTGAACAATGTGGAAAGGGTTTTTGGTCTTTAGGGGCTTTCTCGCACCACAAGCAAAATCAGATGGAGTGTACTGATTTGAGACTCAGAAAGGGTCTATCAAGTTCTCTGCACTCTGTTAACGGACGCTTACGCTCTGTGACTAAAGTCACATGTCCGATGTGTGGCAGGAAGTTTCGCCACAAAGGCATTATGGCGCTACATATGCGCAGGCATGAAAATGGAAATCACAAATGCGAAATCTGCAGCCGCTCATTCCGACTTTTTTCCAGCCTCCTCAGACACGAGGTGGTACACAGCGACCAGTTGCTACCACCGCCCATCAAGTCCTTTCAGCACCAGGTGGAGCAGCTGAAGAAGAACACGTACAGCTGTCCTGACTGTGGGAAGCTGTTTTCACGGGAAAAAGCGCTGCAGTTTCACATGAAGAGTCATGGTTACGAGTCCAGGAACTCTCCGTCGTCCCCACAGTCCATGGTGAAAGTGAACCATCTGCAGTGTGCGACATGCTTCGCACATTTTAACAACAAGGCGTCTTTAAGGGCTCATCGAAAACTCTGCAGGAAAGGAGACATCGTGGAAGCTGAACTTGCAAAGAATGAAGCTGTAAAAATGCGCTCTGATTCCAACACGCAAGAACACTCGAGCCAAATGAAGGAACAAGTTGACACGAAGAACGAAGGGGACATTGGTGCACAACAAATTGAAATGCCCACAGATGGGGGTAATGTTGAAAATCCAGACTCAACCCATTTGAAATACAAATGCAATGCATGTGACAAAAGTTTTCCTATTGCTGGAGCGTTAAATTTTCATAAGAGAATTCACGTTAAAGGCAATAAGTCCAAATTAAAATCCGATATTGGTCAACCTCTAATGTCTAAGATGCCAAACAAAGAYGAGCCAAGTAAAGGTCTAATCCACTGCTCAGATTGTGGAAGGCATTTTATGACTAAATCAGCCCTCTGCTCTCACAAACGATGGCACAAAGAAAAGAAATGTTCAAAGTCTTCACATGAAGAAGATAATTTCAAATCTGTCAGCCACAAGACCGAGGACGGACCCTTTCAGTGCAAGAAGTGTGAGAAACAGTTTTCCAGCCATCAAGTTCTCCACAGACACCAGCTCTTTAATCCTCTGTGTCAAACCAAAACTGAGCCAGATTTAAACAGAAACATGGAGACGGACCGATCAGAGCAGTTTTCACACCAAGTCATGCACTGTAAAATTTTGGAGGTGGCAGAACATAGGGAAGTGTCCTTAAAACCCACCCCAGAACACAATGTTAACATAGTTGGGGACGAAACCTCACCATCAGCTGTGAAGATAAAACCCCACCAGTGTCCCCTCTGCTTCATGACCTTTGCTAAAGCAAGAGGTCTGCATGCTCATAAATGGCAAGCCCACCCAAAGAATGGAAAGTGCAAAAAGAAGTGCTCTAACTTAAACAACCGATTTGATCAGGTGGACGACTCAGAGGTGTTAAAGAGCAGCACTGTTGGCAGAGGAAGGAAGAAAATCATATCAAACCCTCAACCCGAAATATTWATTTCCTGTCTTGAATGTGGGGAACAGTGCAGTTCCACGGCTTGTCTCCTTGACCATAACAAAGTTTGTTCGCCTGTGAAGCAAGAGTCTAAAATGGAGGTGGAAACTCTCGAAGCCGCGACTGAGGTTCCTCCAGTGGTTGGCCATCTGCTGGAGCACACGGTCAAATGTCTCTTCAAGTGCGACAAGTGTGGGAAAGCTTTCCGAACAGAGGACCAGCTAGGAACCCACAAGAACAAGGCCAAGAGCCGGCCTCACTGCTGCGCCCTGTGCTGCCACTGCTTCTGGACAGAGAATCAACTGCAGCAGCACCTCGCCTGGCACGACGAGGTGCGCTGTCGTCTCCCCAACGAGTTGCGCTTCAGGCTCAGTACTGCTGTGACCTCAAGTCCTTTGAAACCCAACTTCTCCTTTGCTGATAAGTCCTTCCTGCTCCCTTCCATCAACCAACCTCCTAACCCAGCCGGCTGCTCAGAAACCGAGGGTCAGCGTCATGGCAGATCTGAGCAGTGTAGCAACTTGTACTGCTGCTTGATTTGCTCCAAAACTTTCAGTCACCTAAAAGACCTTATTGATCATAACCAGGAGTGTATGAGTGATCACAGAAGACAAAATATCACTCCTGCTGCTGCTGTTTCATTAGAGGACACCGATGGCCTTAACTTGTTTTGAATGCAGAACAAGTCTTTGACCAAAAAAAGAAAAATGTTGTTGCACCAGCGTAGTACAGAGGATGTCCGTGTAGTGTTAAAGCTCATATGGTGACGCTGTAGATTGTAAGGTTTTTGTTTCTTTCTGCAAAATTTGTTACATTGAAGTAGAAAATGTAGTTGTTTYTGTAGTCTCAGGCTTTGCTTGACACTGGACCAGTATCTCTGTAAATGTGAAAGTATAGCTCAGTCACCTCTATTCATAGCTCTGAGTCTACATTTATTTATTTTTTTTGTTTTGAATAGATGAATGTCAGCTGAGCCTTTTCAAACTCTGTGGGGCGTCACATATTAAAGTGTTAGAGTTTATATATAGATGTTTAAAAAAGGTTACAAAGCACTGATATGTCAGTTCTCAAAGATAAAAACTAAAATGCTGTTACACTGAAATACATTTAGTTGATAAAGACGGTGAAAATGAATATTTGCCCTCCCTAAATATGTAAAGGTTTGGTCTGTTGTTTCTAAAATGCTGAAGGTTTTTCTAAAATAAGTTCTGCTGCTGTAAATACTTCATAAGAAGTGAAACAAAACTGAATTATCTACTGTTTCTGGTATTGAACACTATTGTTATTAACTGTAAAATCCATTTAACATTAAGTAGCTTTATGTTCTGTGTTATGGCTATATTTATTTAACAAAGATAGAAATACGTGGTCCAAGAATGAAGGTACTCCGTGAGATGATCAGCTGTTTTATTGCAACAACAGGAACACAGACAACAACCTGGCCTGTCTCTGTGCCTCTGCTTCTCTCTGTTTCTCTCTGTTACTGTCTCTCCACACTACTCATTGTGTCTCGAGAGGCCTCATATATATATTAACAAACACCATTATGTCATCTTAGTAAGATTTGATACAAGGTCAAGGGAAAACACAAAGATAAACACAAGTGATATCTAAGAATGACTGTTAGCAAATCTTGTTCTGACTTTAATCATTCTATCTGCAGATGAACAGCATGTCATGAAAACCTAGGTCATTAAAGGATGTCATGAATTACTTGCTTGAACATAGAAGTATCAGTTCCATTACATTCTGTAAATCTCATTCAGCATTAAGTGATTAAGGTCTTTTTTACATCTTTATAGGGATATACAGTATATATATATAGATAGCTGTATTTTTGTTGTGGAATCACTACTAAAGTAATTTAGTGTTTGTTTCTGTAGGATAGTGATTAGAAGAAAAGGTTTGACTTTGATTTATAGTTTTGTTTTTCCCCTTGTTGACCAATATGTTAACTCCTTTTTTCAGAAAGAACAAAGATAAATTTCTTTAAAACATCTCTTACTGAGTTGTGTGATTAATTCAGTTTCAACTTGATCAGTTTGGTTTGTATATTTTCTGATTTTCTTTTCTAAGTTTTGTTAGATAATTACACATCTTAGGGTGTATTCTAAGGGCGTGTTGTGTGATTGGTATGATTCAACCACTAGATGTCGCTGAAAACAAATCCTACACACTGCCTTTAATGTTTGTGATTAATGGAGCCATGTGTGGTGACAAAATAGATGCAAACTTTAAAWGTGTTAACTTTCCTATAAAATAGGCTAATTGGGCCTCATGCAAAAACCGTTTGTACACACAGATTTGTTCTTAAGTTGTGCGTACAAGTGATTTAGGAGAATTTGTGGCATTCAATGTTTTCATATTCTAAGATTTTCTTCATACGTTGCGCGACGGTGTCTTCTGAATAAATGAAAATGATTTAACACAGTTATTTATACTATTAGCAGCTCTTTTTATTCCACAGCTGACCTGCTAAAAATGACAGATTTTRTTTTCTGGATCTCTGACAGACGGACTTCAATCTCTGAACTCGTAAAGTTTTTCTTTTTAGTTTTCGCTGTCATTTTCATGAATGGACACTTCCTGATATCTCAGGCAGGAAACATAGCCTTATATGGTGTTTTTGTGGTGGTAATTCTCTCGCGTGCACATGCAGCTGGATACGAACAGGTGGAATTTACGCAGCTCATTTACACACTTTTCCTGAAGATAGAAGAATTTGTTGAATCAGACGTGACATGTTCGTACGAACCCTTTGTACGAACAGAAGTAAGAGAAATTTAGGATAAGAATACGAACATGTTCCTGCATGAGGCCCATCGTTTCTAAAACTGATGAAACAAAAGAATTAGCACTTAAAAGAGCCTGCAAGGTTAGGTTTGACAGCTTTAGCATTTCATCTGCAGATAAATTTTATTTTACAACTCTAGAGTCAAAACATTAGATTTTAGACAAACTAATTTTTGAACTGTGGATCTGCTTTTGTTTTTAGTATCGTAGTGGAATGTCTTCAAAAGCATATTTGATTTTGGTACTTTCATGTATTTTTCRGCATAAGTAAAAATATTTTCTGTTTTCAGAGTCTCTTAACACATTTTTAAAAGGTAAAAATAGCTAATAAGTAACAAAAATATTCTTAAATATGCACAGTACTTTAAACTGTTTATGTCGTGGATGAAAAAGTACAATATTTTTAGCAGCTTCCCTGGCAGCTAGGTGTGGACACCAAACAAATGACGTCACCAAATTTAAAATGCCTTTTGAATGCAGATTGTTTTTTTGTTGCATATTCTTATATCAAGTCTGAAAGTAAACATGGCCTTGAATTTTATTCTGAAAGGTAACAGTTTTACCAATTATTCAGGAAGACCCAAGAAAAGGTGTATTTACTTAATGATTTCTATTTTCATAGCATAAAAATGTCAAATTATCCTCCACCGTGCAAACATTTTTGCATATTTTTGGAAAATGTAAATGTACGTATACAGTACATGGTTACTGAAAATGAAAATAAATCATTCAAGTTAAGTAAACACGTTCAGAAATCTAGTTCATTTTAATGTTAAATATCTAATAGTTTTTAATGAATAATTTAGAAGTTGTCTTCAGATAGCTTAAAATTTTCATGTTTTTGTGTACAAGTACCAGCTAGAAAATCCAAGAAAAAAATCTTCAAATACATGTAAATTTAAATGTACTGTTTTGTGTAAAATGATTATTTAATACATGCTTTCTTTTTTTTTTTGTAGCTGAAGAGTCAAGCATTTTATGTAAGGACTGTGGACTGCAGTTCAAACACAGGGATTCCTACTTGACTCACCTGCACCAACATGCCCTGGAAGAGGAGGAGGCTCAGCTGGAAGAGGAGAAGACTCAGCTGGAAGAGGAGGAGGCTCAGCTGGAAGAGGAGGAGGCTCAGCTGGAAGAGGAGGAGGCTCAGCTGGAAGTGGAGAAGACTCAGCTGGAAGACTGCAGGTCTCTTGCAACAGGTCGGGAGACAAGAGAAGACCGAGACGAAGACATGGGCCCGGATGCGGGTGACAAGAGCAGTTCGGCACAAGTGCGATCTCCAGAGTCGACACAAGATGTTCCGCCAGCCTCTGAGCAGAACGCACTTCGAAATGTTTACTCCTGCCTGGTTTGTGGGAAGATTTACTTGTACCTGAAGTCGTATAGAACACACTTGAAGTTGCACAAAGACCCGCCCTCAACAGAACAAGACCAGCAACAAAAATACAGGAGCGATCCCAGCAATATGAAGTACGAGTGCACAGATTGTGGGATGTCATTTATCAGACGCACGCGATTCATTAGTCATTTGAGAGAATTTGGGCATAAACCCTCAAACACCAATGACTGGAGAGCCCAAATGGCCCACAAGCCAGCAAGTCAGCCAGACTCCCAGTTAGAAATRTATTCATGCCAAGACTGCGGGAAGTCTTTCGGTCGAAGTAGACAATTACATGCACATCAAATCCAACATAAACGTTTAAAGGGCCGCTTTAAGTCTTTTCAATTCTCTACCATTCACGCGAAGATCCAAAAGCCTAAAAACACAGAACCCCTTACAGGTGTGAANAAACGTTTAAAGGGCCGCTTTAAGTCTTTTCAATTCTCTACCATTCACGCGAAGATCCAAAAGCCTAAAAACACAGAACCCCTTACAGGTGTGAAAGAAGAAACCGAGGTTAAAACAAATATGGGAGAGCTTCAAACAAGCAAGCCTGCTGAATGTGGAGATCCAAAAGACTCAGAGGAGCCTGACTGTGGAGAGCCCATGCATCGCTTCGAGCTTCCCAAACCTCCCAA